CTCGAGCTCTCTGGAGTCCCTTTTACAAAATCATCCATCCCTGTCTTGACAGCTCTGCCCTCATGACCTCAGCACTCCCCAGGGGCCCTCCCTTCTAAGGCCATTACACTGGGGGCTAGGACTGCAATGGATGCATATTAGGGGGACACAAACACTCAGACCATGGCAAGAACTGCCAGCTAAACGCAGCATGTGATCCTGGACCAAATATTAAACAAGTGACCAACAAGAATAACAGCTCTCAAGCATATTTGGAGGGTGTGGTGCATGGCTGGCTCAGTGGGTGGGGCGTGTGACTCTCGATCTCAGGGTCTTGAGTTCAAGCCCCACGTTGGGTGTAGAGATTACTTAAAAATAAAATATTTAGGGGAACCTGGATGTCTCAGTGGGTTAAAGCCTCTGCCTTCGGCTCGGGTCATGATCTCAGGGTCCTGGGATTGAGCCCCGTATTGGGCTCTCTGCTCTGTGGGGAGCCTGCTTCTCTCTCTCCCACTCCCCCTGCTTGTGTTCCCTCTCTTGTTGTCTCTGTGTCAAATAAATAAATAAAATCTTTAAGAAAGAAAGAAAAAAAAAAGAAAGAAAGGGAGAAAGGAAGAAAGAAAAAGAATATTTGGGGGATTAGAATATGGATTTCATAACAGATAATATCCTTGGAGAATTAAGCTTCTAGAGTGTGGTGATGGCATTTATGATTATACAGCTCCTACACTGTAGGAAAACATTCTTGTTTTTGAGGGACACAAACTGAAATATTCTGGGCGAAGTATCATCCTCTCTCCAACCAACTTTCAAATCTTCCTCTATAAATGTCTGTACAAAGGGAGAGAAAGACATGAAGCAAATAAGCCAACAGGCTTGTTTGCTGTACTATTCTTGTCTATTGCTCGTAGGTTTTAAATTTTTCCAAAGAAAAAGTTGAAAAAAAAAATCCCCTGTCAGGGGCGCCTGGGTGGCTCAGTCAGTTGAACATCTACCTTCCGCTCAGGTCACGATCTCAGGGTCCTGGGATCAAGCCCTGCATCAGGCTCCCTGTTCCCTCTGCCCCTCCCCACCTCTCTCTCACTCTTTCTCTCTCTGTCTCAAATAAATAAATAAAATCTTTTTAAAAAATCCCCTGTCAGGGGCGCCTGGGTGGCTCAGTGGGTTAAACTGAGTGCCTTCAGCTCAGGTCATGATCCCAGGGTCCTGGGATCGAGCCCCACATCAGGCTCTCTGCTCAGCAGGGAGCCTGCTTCCTCCTCACTCTCTGCCTGCCTCTCTGCCTACTTGTGCTCTCTCTCTCTAATAAATAAATAAAAACTTTTAAAAAAATCCCCTGTCAATTGGAAAAATAAACAAAATCCTTAAAGACCTTAAAGAAGGGCCCATGAAAATGCCCCTCGAGGCATCACACTTCCCTAGTCCTGAGAATCCGGTAAACCATTCAAAGTAAACCATTCTTTTAACCAGAACATTCTGCCCTGCATGCTGCTTTTGGCCACAATGTCTGGAGCCAAATCAAATAATAACTACCTCGCTGAGTAAAGAGGGAGCCTCCCCTCCGGTGCTGGTCCACCTTCCTGGTTTCCTCGGAGCATCCTGTGGGAGCGGGAACTCCAACCCCATTTTACAGATGAGGAAACTGAGGCCAGCAGAAGCACTGAACTAGCCTCAATTCATACAGCTGGTACGACTAAAAGCCACATCTTTCTGACTCTGAAATCTGTATTTGTAACCACTATGTCGACTGCTTCCTGGAGGGTGGGGGAAGGACGGGGCTGCTCTTTCAACACCCAAATAAACCTATGAGGACAAAGCCCATCAAGGGAGAGGAGGAGGGAAGCAGGAGACCTTATATGAAAGAGTTTGGACCTGGGGAGGGTGGTCAGGGAAGGCTTCCTGGAGACGGGCTGAAGCCTCACGGTGACCAGGCTTCAGGAGGAGAGCACGGAAGGCAGGAGGAAAAGCATGGGCAAAGGCCCAGTGGCTAGAGGGTGGCCAGTGAGGAGGGGCTGGGTGCGAACTGGCAGCAGGATCAGAGAGTGAGAGCCTCAGAGGCGCAGGGAGGAGCTTGGGCTTCCTCCTGAGGGCACTAGGGAGCCAAGAGAGGATTCTGAGCAGGGGAGAAGAACAGATGTATAACTCAGCAGGGCCCCTCTGGCCGCCTGGTGGGGGAAACTCAGAGGACACTGGGAGCTGATGGCCACGGAGTAGCTTGGGCCGGAAGCCAGGGCTCGTGGAATGATTAGTACACAATTCAGACTCAATAAACACTTGGGCAAAGATCCAGAAGCACACGAAGGCTCCATATCGGGGAGGCGCAAGGAACCAGGTGTCTCAGACACCAGCTAGGAGAAACAGTTGTGGGTACAAACTGCTCACAGAGGGCAATTTGGCAATATCTCTCAAATTACCTTTGACCAGCTGTTTCGCTTCCAGAAGTTACTTGCGTGACACGAGGGAAATAATAGATGAACCAAGTCGTTCTCTACAGGTTTGCTCAAAACAGGCAATGGGAAGCAACCTAAATGCCCAGTAACGGGGGACCTGCCCAGCGGGCTCACACCTACCCGTGCAACGGGGCTCAGTGAAAGAGAAGGGGACAGCTTTAGACCCGCTGAGGTTAGCTGTGCTCCAAAATACATTCTTTGTATTTTTTAGATTTTTTATTATTATTATTTATTTATTTATTATTTTTAGAAGATTTTATTTATTTATTTGTCAGAGAGAGAGAGAGAGAGAGTGAGCACAAGCAGTGGGAGCAGGAGGCAGAGGGAGAAGCAGGTTCCCCACTGAGCAAGGAGCCCAATGCGTGACCTTGCATCCTAGCCATGACCTGGGCTGAAGGCAGACGCTTAACCAACTGAGCCACCCAGGCATCCCAGATTTTTTTTTTAAGTGATCTCCAGGGGTGCCTGGGTGGCTCAGTGGGTTAAAGCCTCTGCCTTTGGCTCAGGTCATGATTTCAGGGTCCTGGGATCAAGCCCCGAATCAGGCTCTCTGCTCAGCAGGGAGCCTGCTTCCTTTCCTCTCTCTGCCTGCCTCTCTGCCTACTTGTGATCTCTGTCAAATAAATAAATAAAATCTTAAAAAAAAATAAAAATAAAGTAATCTCTACACTCAATGTGGGGCTCAAACTCACAACTCTGAGATCAGGAGTTGTGCGCTCTCCAGACTGAGCCAGCCAGGAGCCCCTTCAAGATACATTTTTAAGCAAAAAAAGACCACCGTGCAAAATAGTATATAGATTACACTCCTCTCCATGTACAAAGGGGGGACTGTACATACGTATGTACACATGTCCCTACAGAACCATAAACGACTCCCAGAAGGATGCATGAGATATTGATAAGAAGGGTCACCTCTGGGGGTGCCTGGGGATGTAGCTGGCTGGGCGTCTGACACTTGGTTTCAGCTCATGCCATGATCTCAGGGTTGTGGGATCAAGTCCCACTTTGGGCTAATACTCAGTGTGGAGTCTGCTTGAGTTTCTCTCTCTCTCCCTCTGCTCTTCCCCTCACCCCCGGCAGGTGCCTATATGTATGTGCTCTTTCTCTCTCTCAAATAAATAAATAAATCTTTTTTTTTTTTTTTTTAAGGGTCACTGGGGCACCTGGGTGGCTCTGTCAGTTAAACACCTCCCTTTGGTTCAGGTCATGATCCTGGGGTCCTGGGATTGAGTCCCGCATTGCGCTCCATGCTCAGCCGGGAGCCTGCTTCTCCCTCTTCCCCTCCCTCTGCTTGTGCTCCTTCTGTCTGTCCAATAAATAAAATCTTAAAAAAAAAAAAAAAAAAGAAAAGGTCACCTCTGTGGGGGTGGCGCGGGGAACCTGGGGCCTGGGGACAGGAGTGGTGGACTTTTGTTCAGTTTAATTTAAATTCTGTTAATACATATGAATTAAATTAATTGACATCCTGGAAAGTTTCGAGCCATCTGACTCAAAACTATAAAGCAAAATAAAGATGCGTGTAGTGAAAAACCTTACCTGCACCTTATCCATTCAGCACTACCCCAACCCCAAAAAGTCATGACTTTTTTTCCCCCTTCCAGAGTTTCTGGAGGCACATACCAGCAAATACAAATACAGAATCTTACTTTTCCCCCATTTTAACGCCGAAGGTAGTATAATCCCCTACGAAGGGTTCTGTGCCTCGATTTTTTTGTTTGTTTGTTTGTTTATTAATATATCTTGGAGATGGTTCCACATCAGTACCTGGGGGACAGCTTCATTTAAAAATCTCTCCGTGTGCACCGAATGCATTTGTTTATCGGCACACACACACAGATAGTTTTCGTGGTTGCGCAGGATTCCAGTGTGTGCGTAGATGTGCACAGGTTACCCCACCAGCTGCTGAGTAACTCTACAGTTTCCAACTCTTTACATAACAAGGCTGCGGGGGATCTCTTGCACACCCCTCTTTTTGCCCAAAGGCTGGCATATCCACATCGCCAATTTCCTCGAAGCAGAATGGCCAGACCTATGAGTCACGATGGCAATAATCCTAACCCCAGTTCATCTCTCCTGAGCACATACCATGCTGGAGGCCCTTGGCACGTGTCATTAACTCATTCACGCCTCCTGACAACCCCCGATGGTTAGTTGTTGTTATTTTTATTATTATTATTATCCCATTTTGTAGAGAAGGAAACTGAGGCAAAGAGGGACCAAATAACCACTCCAAGGCTGCCCTGCTGGTAAATGGCAGAACAGGGATTCAAACCCCGCCACTCCAATTACTCTGGCCTCCCTTGTGGGCCAGGAGACTAGCTACCCTGCCTTTTAGGGCAATGATAATTTTGATCAATACTGCCAATGCCCAGAAGGACGCCTTTCTTGGAATGTCCTTTGGAACCCGAGGCGAGTGAGAGTATGAACCGCTCCAACAACAGCAACGGCAATAATGATAACCACTGTGAAATACACGAACAATGCAGGCGCGCGAATCTCGGCGGGGGGGGGGGGGGGGGGGGGGGGGGGGGGGGGGAGCCGGGAGGCGCGAGACCCCGCCCCGGGCCTCACCTCGATGGCGGGCAGCGTCTTGCTGGCCTCGGTGCTGCTCTCCCCGAGGATGCTGCCGGCTGAGCGGCCCTCGCACTCGTAGCGGAAGCGCATGCCGCGCTGCTTGGGCTGCTCGGTGATGACCAGGTGCGGCCGCGGCCCGGGACCCGGGGCCGGGGGCACGGGCCGCCCCAGGGGGCAGCCCCAGGGCGACGGCGTGGCGGGGGGCGGGGGCGCCGCGGGGCCCAGGGTGACGGTGCTCAGGGAGGCCACCCCGCGAGGCACGAGGCGCGGCAGCCCCTCGCCCGGGCCCGGCGGCGCCCCCTCCAGGCCGAAGCCGTTCTCCTTGATGTACTCGTCGATGATCTCTGCGGGAGAAGCAAAAACTGGGGGTGACGCTGATGATAGAAGGAAAGGCCTGATGACCGCCCCCCCAAGACCTGTGCTGCCCCACCTTTCCCCATCCACTCATTTCTTCGCGACATCTTCCTTGTGGGCCGAGTGTGGGCAGCGGGTGCAGTGGGGGGGCTCGGCTCCCAACTCCAAAAAAGCCCCTACCCTGCTTGCGAACAGTTCCCCAGTTCTCGAGGCCAGAAACCCGGCGGTCTGGGTTCTCCTCCTGCACCCTCATGTCCACTCCCCTCCCTAACAGTGCCTGAAATCATGTCTCCATCCCCTCTCACCTGGATAAAGGTAGGGCCAGGTAACAGGTGTCCCTGTCCCTGCTTCTCCCCCACCCCGGGGTGGGGGGGGTTTAATAACAACAACCCCCCAAGCTGTTCCCACCTCAGAAAGCAGCACACCCGTCCACCAAGTACCCAAGCTAGAAGCCCGCATAGCTGCTTGTGATCCCACATCTGTCCCCATCCTTGAACCTCTTCTGCCTCTTACCTCAAATACATGTTACACTCCCACCGCTGCTCCCCACACCCCCGGCTCCATTCTGGTCCACGCTCACCATCTTCCCTCTGAACCACTGCTCCTGTTCCCCCTCTGGCCTCCTCCATGTCCCCCACACACAGCCAGACACAGCTTAGGTCAGACCCTGTCCCCACTCCACTCAGACACCTCCCATGGCTCCCATCTCCCCTAAGACTCAAAGTCAACAACCTCTCCATATAACACCTTCCCCAAACTCGATTCATCTCAGGAAAACAAAAACAAAAACAAAAACAAAACCCACACCCTTGACCCCCTGCCACAGAGTCTTGTGTGGACTGGCCCCCTCCTGTCCTGGGCCTTCAGCCTCCTGCCAACAAACCCCCCACCCACCTCTCGCCCTGCTCCAGTCGCTTTTCTGTTGCTTGCTCCCAGCAAGGCCTGGCCCTCTTTGGGGGTGCTGTGCCTACTCTCTGTCTGCCTATTCCGTCTTTCCCCCCATTCAACCCACTCTGGCCCCTCGTCCTTCAGGTCTCAGCTCAAATGTCACCTATTCTGAAAGGCCTACCTAGTGTGTGTCTTCCCAGGCCATCGGCTCCTCTTCCCGTTATCTCCTTCATAGCCTCAGCCCGATCTGACATGATCTTGTTCATTTACTCCCTTTCCTACTATCGCCCCCACCAGAGGGTCAGCTCACAGGAGGGTAGGGACCTCATTTGGTTCGCGGCTGAATTTGGTGCCTGGCACACAGGGCATGCTCCATAGAGTTCACTGAGAAAACGACCCAGTGCTTGCGGTAATGGTAACACTAAGGGCAGCTGATGTGGGGAGGCTTTTCTAAGGATCAAGTACTGCTGGAAGTTTGGGAACAGAAACATTAAAGTCCCCAACAGTTCTACCCAACAGCAAAGAAGGCCCAGATCCCGCCCTGTGAGCACTAGGACATCTCGCCAACCCCCACCCCTTCCCCCAGACCTGCCCTGTTATACTTACCCAGTTCATCTGTGAAAGGAAGAGAAAGAGAAAGAGTAAGGTGAGGTCCAGAAAGCGGTCAAGACTTTCATCTTTTAAGACAGATTCCCCAACCCCATCCCCTGGAGGCCTGGAACCCTCCCCCTTTCTCTCTTCCTCCATCCTGGGAAACTGGTCTCTGGCTCGCTGGGGTGCCAAACCCCAACCCCGATTGCACCCTCTTGGGCTACCCTCCCTTCAGCTCGCAATATTGGGGCCCTAGGGTCAGGGGACCTTCAAGCGCCTTCTTAAAAAAACATTGAGGCCAGGAATTCAAAGGCATCATTGAGGACCCAGGGAAGCCAAGGATCTTATGACCAGGAAAAAAAATTAAACAGCTAAGATTCTAAAGGCTGGGAAAGTCCCTCATCACCTCCTTGGGAAAGCTCAGTCTTGAAAGGGGCCACGGAGAAACCGAAACAAACCTCCCGTCATTCTATAGACAGGACGATGGGAAGGCCAGAGCGAGCAGGCCGGCCTGGGGTCACACAGCGAGACAGGGCAGGCGGGGGCCAGAGCCCCTCTCAGGGTCATCTGCCCCAGCCGCTGGCCACAGACAGATCAATGCCAGCCTGCCCTGCTCCCAGGCCTGTCCTCCTCCTCCACTCTCGGGGAGTGGCTCCTGGCAGCCAGACCTTTGCTCCTCGGAAAGCAGTTTTCCTGCTCTCCTTATCTCCTGTGATCTGTGAAGTCAGCAGGGTAGGGAAGATACCCTGACTGGGTACCTGGGGACACTGAGGCTGGGACAGAAGAAGGGACAGGCTGTAGATCCCTGGCAGGGCCAACCTCCGGTCACTAAACTTGGGAAAAACTCTTAGGCGTCCATGCTGGATGACCTGTGGGCCCGAAGAGGAGTTAGACTTTGCCCAGGTTGCAGGGGGAAACCAAGCCCTGGGCAGCAGTGGCCTGAGGTTTGGACTACCTCGGTTCAAATCCTGGCTGTGCAACTTCCTAACTGGAGGGCCCTGAGCCCCTCCACTTAACCCCTTTTTGCCTTGGTTTCTCCATCTGTAATGCCTCATTGGGCTGCTGTGAAAATTAAATGAGCTAATACGTGGGAAGCACTTGGAACTGCTTAGAATAGTAAGCCCTGCATAAATGCTGGCTGCCAGCAGATCAAGTGTTGGGGGACATTCTTTTATGGACTTGGGTGACCAACCCGCCCTCCCTCTCTAGACCTCAGGTTCCCATCTCTAAAATGAAGAGGGTAGTGGACCTGCTTTCAGAGCACGGAGTATAGAGTCACACAGATGCTGGTTGGAATCCTACCTGTCACACACTCACTATGTAGCCTCGGGCAAGTCTCTCAACCTCTCTGAATCTTTCTCAAATGAGGTCTGAGCTCCCATCTCAAGGTGTGAACATGAGGATTCCGAATCCCACAGGTAAACTGCTTAGCACCATGGCTGACTGCCCTAGCCCCTCCATAAAGCTTAGTTAAGAGCATTATTATCTAAAAATCCCCTTCTGGGGGTGCTTGGGTGGCTCAGTCGGTTGAGCAGCTGACTCTTGATTTCTGCTCAGGTCATGGTCCCCGGGGGGACCTGGAATCCAACCAGCCTGACTCAGGCTCACTGCTTGGCAAACAGTCTGCCAGAGGATTCTCTCTCCCTCTCCTTCTGCTTTTTCTCTCTCTCTCTCTCAAACAAATAAATAAATCTTTGGGGGAAAAAAATCCTCTTTCAGCCAGCAAACATTGGGAACTTCTCCTTATTTAGGATTCAACTCAAATAACACTCCATCCCACCCTGACCTCCCACACAGATGTGCCACCATCCAGGGACAGCCAGGATGGGCTGCACGCAGGCAGAACACCAGCCATGTTTTTCCTGCCTCAGGGCCTTAGCACAACCTGCTCTCTGCCAGAATGTTCTTCCTCCAGTTCTTTACAAGGCATCCTCCCCCCTCTTCCTCCTTCAGGTCCCTGCTCAAATGTTACCTACTAGATAGGTCTACCCTGACCACTTTATCTAAGACAGCCCCCTGGTCCCTAAGATAGCTCCAGTCATTCACAGTTACATACCTTTGTTTTATCATTTCATTGGCACTGGTTAGGATTTGGCATGACTTTATGTTATGGGACTCTTATCTGTCCCCACCGTATATCCAGGGTACCCTACGTGTCTAGCCCATCAGAATGAGGGAGATGTTTCCCTTCCACTCAGTCACAGCATTTAGTTTTCCCATCCTTACCCTGCTGTTAGATTTCACTGACCCCGAGACTTCTTCAGAGCCTTTGTCACATTTGGTAATCCCACATTTAATTTACTGCCTAAGTGCCTGGCCTCCACATCCAGGTAAGGAACCCATGAGGGAGGAGTTAGGCTGTTTCAGGCATTGCCGGATCCCCAGTACTGCCCAGCACAGGACGAGGTACAGAACAGGCGTTCAATAAATATTTATTGAAGAGATGACATCACAAATGACTCTCAATTGAAACCAGAGATCTTGGGCCAGAAAAAACCTCATCCTTGTTCCTGCCCAGAACCAGTGCGTGGGCAGTACCTGTCCCCAGCACCATGCCCCACCTTTCCCCATTGTCCACACTCTCAGACCTGTTAGAGAACAGGCAGAGCCTCCTCCATGGCCAGGCCAGCTGCTAGGGTCCATCCCAGGATTCTACCTCCAGACCAAGGCCCAGCCCCAGCCCACTAGGGGCTGAGTCTTCATGGTAACAGGACTCAGTTCCTGCCCTCCTAATCCCACCAGATTTACAAGAGAGAGGATGTTGTCATTTGGCCATGATTTTACATTTTCTTGGGCAGCACCAAATCTTGGACGACACTGGCTGAGGGACCTTCCCGAGTAGTGGTTCTGAGCATCTTTTGGGAACTTGCCAGAAATGCAAACTCTCGGGGCCGATCCTAGACCTACTGAATCAGAAACTCTAGAGGTAGGGCCCAACAATCTGTTTTAACAAGTTCCCTGGGTGACTCCAGTGCACACAAAGGTTTAAGAACCACTGTTATAGGCAGTCTGATAATAGTAATAGTAATCATCATCATCATCATCATAACAGCTGTGAACAGTTAATGCTTATTGAGACTTTACTGTGTGCCAGACATTGCTTTGAAAGTCAGCCTGTATCAGCTCATTGAATCCTCTCAATCCCCCGACAAAGGGAGGCACTGATATTATGTCCACTGTACAGATGAGGAAAACTGAGGCCCAGAGAAGTGATTTGCAGGCATTCACAGAGCGAGAAGGTGGCAGCATTGGCAGGTCATTTTTAACCCTCTGCACTACCATGGCCAGTCTATAAAGAGGACTCCTCTTACAGGGCGAATAGGTGGTTAGCTTTACCTGTCCAGCTCCTAACCACCCAGGAAGTAGGGGCACCTGGGGCCCCCATCTCAACCCGCAGGGACAAACACAGGTGGTCGGAGGAAAGCTGAGGTGGCCCTGGGTGAAACCCCAGACAGAGGTGTACCCAAAGCCGCCTCCACAGGATTCCCCCCTCCCCCGTCCTGAGCGCGCGGGTGGGCCGGAACTGTGGTGGGCTGCTCACCCGTGGTCCTGGAAACGGCGAGCGAGAGCGAGGAGAGGTCCGCGGACCCTGCAGCAGGGAGGGAGGCAAGTCTCAGGAGGCGATGGAGATGCAGCGGGAGGACCCGAGAGTCTCCTAGGCCCCACCCCGTTCCTCTCCTGGCCCCGCCCCCTCGGATCAGGCACCCCCCACCTCCTCACCCTTAACGCCCGCAGGATCTGGCCTTGCTTCCTTCTCTAACTTATGGACCGGATCCCTAGTTTCTGTCATTCTCCCCAGCCTGCATCTCACTCAGGCCGCCGGCTCCTCTTCCTTAAGGTCGGGTCTGGAGGGGCCCTTCTCAACCTCAGTTACGAAAGCCCCCACCCCGTCCTTTCTCTCAGGGTCAACCCTACCCCTTCACTTTTTCAGTGTCACCCCGTCCCCTTCTCCCTCTCAGACCCTGCCCCTCCTCTCCTGAAGCTAGCCCCACTCCCCCTTTCTTCTCCAAGTCAGGCCCCGCCCTTCTTTTTTCGGAACAAGCCCTCCCCCTTCTCCCTGCCAGAGTTAGGCCCCCCCCCTTACCCTGAGTAGGACCCTGCTTCCTTCTTAGAGTTAGGCTCCGCCCCCTTCTCGCTTTCATAGTCAGTCCCCGCCCCCTTCGGTGAGCCAAGGCCCGCAGTCTCGCCCACTCTGAGTCTGGCCCCTCTCTCGTCTCCCCCTTCTCCGAGGCTGGCCACGCCCCCACTCCACAGAAGCGGCTCCCGCCCCGCCTTCTCTGAGTCAGGCCCCGCCCCCATCTCGCGGAGTCGGGCCCGCCCCCTCCTTTGCCTCAGGGTCAGGCCCCGCCCCCTTCTCACTCTGTAGTGGGACGCCTCCCTCTTACCTTGGGCTGGACCCCGTCACTATCCTCTGCCCCCTTCCTTCCCTCTGATATAGTGTCCCTGGAACCCTCAGCCTCATCCCCCAAAGCCCCTAGACTCCTGTAGGAACCCCCAGACTACTCCGGGCCCCCAGAACCCCCGCATTTCCAGCCCCGCCCCAGACTTCTCTCCCGAACCCGGGTCCCGCTTACCCAAGGCTCCCAGCTCCGGCGCAGCGGACGGTCTGGCGACGCGGCGACTCGGCATGGCCCGACCAGTGGGGACGGACGGCCCGGAGGCCGGCCCAGATCAAAACACACACGCGGGCAGGCCGGGCGGCCAGGGGGCACGGTCCGGAGGACGATCGCGGGTCGAACGAGCGGCGCAGGGGCTGGGGCCGCAGGCCGGGTTGGACGCGCGGCGCCCGGGGCTGCGGGGGGCGCCGGGCCGGGCCGGGCGGGCGGCGGGCGGGGGCGGGGCGGCGGAATTCCCCGGCGCCGCCGGCCTGCGAGCCCATTGGCCCGCACCCCACCGTGACGTCACGCTAGGGGGAACGGGAAAACCCCCACGCGTCACGTGGCCCCGGGGGCGGGGCCGGCCGGGAAGGGGAGGCC